TTTCAGAGAGAGAGCACGAGCAGGGGGAGAGGGAGAGGGAGAAGCAGGCTCCCCGCTGAGCAAGGAGCCCGATGTGGGACTCGATCCCAGGACCCTGGGATCATGACCCAAGCCGAAGACAGGCGCTTAACTGACTGAACCACTCAGGCCCCCCTCATTGTCCTTTCAAATTCCTTTACTTCATGCTTTTAATTACCTCATGATCAATATAGCACATGCTGTTTATATTCTCCGAATGTAAAAACGAGGCCCAGAGCATTTGTCTGCTTTAGATTTTCATATTCCTCATACACACTCTTTGCTCAGATACAAAATTTCAGTGATAAAAACTTAGAGGGACACATGTTAAGAGGTGGTATTTTTATTGAGATAAACTATGCAAGTTATCAGTGTGCTATGGATACCAAAAAGATTTCTTTTCTTTTTTTTTTTTTTTAAAGATTTTATTTATTTATTTGAGAGCGAGAATGAGATAGAGAGCATGAGAGGGGGGAGGGTCAGAGAGAGAGGCAGACTCCCTGCTGAGCAGGGAGCCTGACATGGGACTCGATCCCGGGACTCCAGGATCATGACCTGAGCCGAAGGCAGTCGCTTAACCAGTTGAGCCACCCAGGCACCCAAGATTTATTTTCTATTGCAAACTGCATTAATTGAAATGGGGTATTAGAAAGGGACACAGTAAAAGTGGCCTTTAGTCTTTTCACGTAAGTCTCTAGAAATGTATTTCTTGTCATGTGCGTGTGTTTAGATTTAGGGATCACAGTCTAAATGAGATATAGAAGATACAGAAGAGCACATAAGAGTAAACAGGACTATGATGATGCCTGAACCATGTGAGAAATAGTTAAAGAGGAATATTTAGCTTGGAATAGAGGACTTGATAGCATCCTTTAACCCTTTGAAAAAAAAGTCTGTCACATGAAGGAATCATTGAGGAGTAGACCTGGGACCCACTTGTGAAGTTATATGAAGCTGGATCTGAGCATAATGTGAGAAAGGACTGGATAAACATTATTTGGAGAGGCGCCTGGGTGGCTCAGTCGTTAAGCGTCTGCCTTCAGCTCAGGTCATGATCCCAGGGTCCTGGGATTGAGCCCTGCATCAGGCTCTCTGCTCAGCGGGAGGCCTGCTTCTCTCTCTCCCACTCCCCCTGCTTGTGTTCCCTCTCTCGTTGTGTGTCTCTCTGTTAAATAAATAAATAAAATCTTAAAAAAAAAAACAAAAAAACACATTATTTGGAGATGAAACAAGTTACGTTGTGGGAGGAGGGCAGATACTGAATATGCTTTTCATCCATGTGTTCGGGTAGAGGCAGGGTGGTCCATTTGTGGAAAGAGAGTAGAGGGAATTGATGAATCAGATGGAAGATGGAATTAGATCCTTTTTTTTAAACATATGCATTTTTTTTTTCAAGATTTTTTTTTTCTTTTTTTTTATTTGAGAGAGAGAATGAGAGAGAGAGAGAGCATGAGAGGGGGGAGGGTCAGAGGGAGAAGCAGACTCCCCGCTGAGCAGGGAGCCCGATGCAGGACTCCAGGACTCCAGGATCATGACCTGAGCCGAAGGCAGACGCTTAACCAACTGAGCCACCCAGGCGCCCCATTTTTTTTAAAGATTTTTTTTTTAATTAGATCCTTTTAATGTCTTTCCTAATCCCGGGAAATCTTAGACTTTATGGTAGTGTTTAAGGTAGGTGTGGTGATTGGGCCTTTCTGGTTGATCCAGTAAGCTTTGCCGTAAAGAGGTCAGACAACATTTCCCATTCATTGGTGTGCAGAGTGTGAATCATCCCTTGCCATTAGTGCTTACATCTCCGTCAGTACCTGAGGGAGAGATGCTGAGGAATAGTTTGTTGATCACTAAAACCTGTTGAAGAGAAGAAATTTTAGAGTAAATTAATGATTATTTTGTGAGCTGTAGTATAGAAAGTGCTGGGTTGGGGTCAATGTCACAGTGCACTGTTTGGGTGTAAAGCAAGTAAACGCATTTGCATTTGAATCAAAGCTGGTATTATGAATGCACATCTGCACAATGGCTTCTATCTAGAGAAGAGTGGGCAGGCAGTACGCCTCCAGACATGATTCTGTACTGAAGAAAATAATGAAAATTGGGAACTAAATTAACTCATGGCCGCTGAATGTATATCTTTCTGAGTGTGAATGTACAGTAAGTGTACGTGTTGTGCAATAGCATGCGCAGAAGGTACAGGACTCTACTTTTCCACATTGAAGCTTGAACAGGCTGGCAGGTCGAAAGGTGCTCGGGAAAATCTTTGTGTATTGTTTAAACTTAACACTTTTAGCGCCAAAAGAAGAGTTTTTAGGGTGAAGGATAACAGAATTTCCTTTTCTTTTCTCTTCTTCTCTCTCTTTTTTAAGATTTTATTTATTTATTTGAGAGAGCATGAGAAGGAGGAGGGTCAGAGGGAGAAGCAGACTCCTCACTGAGCAGGGAGCCTGATGCAGGACTCGATCCTAGGACTCCAGGAGCATGACCGAGCTGAAGGCAGTCCCTTAACCAACTGAGCCACCTAGGTGCCCCTCTTTTTTTTTTTTTTTTTTAAGATTTTATTTATTTATTTGAGAGAGAAATAGTGAGAAAGAGCATGAGCAGGGTGGAGAGGAAGAAGCAGGCTCCCTGCTGAGCAGGGAGTCCAACGTAGGGCTCGATCCCAGGACCCTAGGATCATGACCTGAGCTGAAGGCAGGTGCTTAGCTGACTGAGCCACCCAGGCGCCCCAGATAACAGGATTTCTTAAAAAGACCAGTATAAAAGTGTACCTCTTTCTTAAACCTTACTGATTTTTTTTTTTTTTAAGAACTTACTGAAGAAAAACTTGTACTTTTTAGTGGACATATTCCTAAGGGCTACAACAGAATGTGAACTCCTTTTGGAACCAAAGGCAATAGAAGAGTAGATTAGGAATCCCTCTGTTCCTTTACCGAAATTGAAATCTATTAAAAGTAGCATTTGACAGAATATTAAAAAGTGGTTTTCATGAGAAATTGGTCTATAGTTTCTAGGTTTGTTCTTTTTTAGTTTCGTAAAAATAAAGAGTAAGAGAAGAAATCAGTTAGATACAGAAATTAATCTTTAGCTTAAGTTAGCCACTTTGGAGCTGGACATACATACTTTGGTAAAAGTATGTAAATAATATTCCTCTTATTTAAAAAAATATTATTTATGTGTTCTCTTTTTATTAAGAAAGACAATGTTGTAATTGGCCTAAATTTATTCATGCCTATGTCTAATACAAAATGAATGAAGCTGAAGATTCTGAAGACATTTACTCCCAAGTTTTCACTTTCTTTCATTCTTTTTTTTTTCTTTTTTCTTTTTTAAGATTTATTTATTTGAGAGAGAGCAAGGGGAAGGGCAGAGGGAAAGAATCCCAAAGAGACCCCCCTGCTGAGCGCGGAGCCCGACTCAGGGCTCTATCCCACGACCCTGAGATCCTGACCTGAGCTGAAACCAAGAGTCAGACGCCCAACCAGCCAAGCCACCCAGGCGCCCCACCGAGTTTTCACTTTCTTAAAAATACCAATCACATAGTAAAATGAGAGAGTAAATGTGCTTGTCAGTTGTACACTGTAAAGCACCAGGCTTGCATCAGTCATCTTAAGGAGCTCAGTATCTCATGTGAGATTACAGTACTTTGAAGACTGTCTTCAAATTCACATCAAAATTAGGTCACTAGATAGATGATTAGACACCTCAGCATCTCTGAGTCTCTCTCTTGAGGCCAGTGGTGAAGGGTTTGGTGCATAAGCAGTTACAGATGAATAACATGGCTACTACTTAAGGAAATTGAGGTACTGAAAAAAGACAGATTTTTGAAAACTTATTTTTTAAGTCTAATGTAATACTTTACGTTAGAGGAGACAGATTCAGAGATGTAATGACACTTGCCTCCCCCCTCCCCGCCCCGCCCCACGTTTTATTACTATTTCATACTATGATCTAGTCCAGGGTAATTTTTACCAACATAGATAGCAACATCTCAGGGACCCTATTGGTGATTTAAAAATTGGGATTGGGATATTTACATTGGTGAATAAATAAATCATTAACTTGGTAGCAAATTATTTTCTTGAGGGTGAAGAAAAGCATTGCGCATCATCAAGAGAAATACAAGACAGAATGTGTTAATCTTTTAGAACGTCTCTAAAACGAACATATGCCAGTGATCAGGAGTTGAATCAGCGAAAAGTGGAAAAACTACTACCTTTGTAAACGTTAGTGACTGGCCTGATGAATTTAGTTTTAGCCTATGAGTGTGAAAGAAGTTTATGTACTTACTTGGCAGACCACAGCTGACTTGAAGTATCTGTGTAGTGTGAAAGAGGAAACATATTGAAAAATTGCAGGAACAGCTTTTAATCAGTAGCCCCCAGTCTGATAGCTTCCAGTCTGATAGCCAAGGCAGTTAAAACACAGACCAGTCATCATTGAAAAAGTATGTGATCATTAGGGTCATTCTGTAGGCATCTTCATGACTCTAAGCAGTAATAGATAATCATAGGGTAAATCTAAGCTCCCATGTGCAGTACACTGTTACAGGAAGCACAGGGTTTGTAGCTTATTCAGGAAGATTTCTCTGCACTATGACAAAAAAAGGAGTTAGGGGCACCTGGGTTGCTCAGTTGGTTAAGCAACTGCCTTCGGCTCAGGTCATGATCCCGGAGTCCTGGGATCGAGTCCCGCATCAGGCTCCCTGCTCAGCGGGGAGCCTGCTTCTCCCTCTG